CAGCCCCAGGGTGGGTACAGGGCAATGCTGGGGCAGAAACCCCATCCCCACCTTAGGAACGGCTTGGCCTCAGCCCCTCTCTTCCCTGCCTTTCTCTTTGGCCCCTTGCCCTTCTTTTCTCTCCCCTTCTCTGCTTTTCCTGCTTTTTCAATCCTCAGAGGACCCTCACAGCACCCCAGTTCATTCCTCTGCACAAACCCCACCCCTTCAGGAGCACAGAGAAGCTAAGAGGGCAGAGAATATTCTGGAAACAAGAGGATCTGGAATACAAAGCCTAGCTCCTGTTTTCTAGGTGAGGGAGCAGGTCACAGCCAGGAAGAGCTAGCTTGAGGTCTGACACTGAATCAGGTGGAGGGCAGGGTTGGGAGCACAGAAGTGTTCACTTGGCCTCAGGGGCCCGTGTAAGTGGTGAGGGGTTGCATGTGGGTCAGGTGAAAGTGCAGTGCTAGGTGTGGGCTTTTATGGCTTATCTTTCACACTGGGAGGCACACTGTGACCTCCCTCTGTAGTGCACAGGTGGGATGGGTTGCTGGGGTGGACAGCCTGCTGTGAGTGTCCGTGGGGGCCAACCAAGTGCTGTATTCATAGTGACCACCTGTTGGAAAGTACGGGGTTCTTCTGTGCTATACCTGCCACAGCCGCAAACCTCTGGCCTCTCTGAGATCAGCCAGTCAGGCCAGGCCAGGCCCCACCCCAGGTGTTCATTGAGGCCTGTTACGCTGCTCTGCGGGCGCCTGAGTACCTTGCATCAGGCTGGCCCTTTGCCTGGTGTTTGTTGGGCCTGGATTATCTACCTCCAGTGACCAGGGCAGTGCCTGGAGTTGTACCTATGAGCTTCTGGGCACGGAGAACAAGCACCTCTGTGTCCCAGCTTGGGGGAGGGAGAGCACAGAGTGGTTAAGTGGCCCCTGATACCCCTGTCCTGTCCTGTCCTATCCTGGCTTTGTCACTGCTCTAGCTTCCCTTGGTACTGATCCAGGGCTCTTAGCCCACACAGAGCTGCTCCTTCCGGGCTGTTCGGAGAGGCATATGGGCATGGCCATGGTGGGACCCTCAGTTGTGGCTTGAGAGAGATTCTTTTGCTACTCCAAGGACACAGCTGTCTATACTCCGTCCCCACAATGAGGTGCCTGTGCGCCCTGTGCTTTTGCGATCCCACCCCTGCATTTGCCTCCTTGGATCTATCCCTGCTCCAACTGCCCCTTAGTACAGTTCCCCCTGCCACAGCCATGGCCCCTTCAAAAATTTTTTTAAGAAACCATGACTATTTCACGTTGTGAGAGCCTGCTCAATAGCTGCCTTTCAGGCAGCTGGGTGGGGCCCAAGCCACTCGGAGCTGGCTGGTGGGCTTTGCCGAGGCCTGCAGGAATGTGTGTACAAGTGTGGAAGCCTGAGTGTGAGGGCACCAGTGGTCAGGGTCTGGGTGGGACTGTCTGAGTATTCTGTCTTTGTATATTCCTCTGCTAGTTCCCTGGGATGACTGCTTCTGTGCCCTTAGCTTCCATGTAAGAGAGAAGTGGAAGGCTCTTTTGGCTGCCTTCTTTATGGTGATGCCAGCCACTGCAGAGGAACCACGGGCTGCCTGCTACAGCTCGGTGAAGTCCCATTCCCAGGCAGGGAAGAGTGTAGAGGCTCTTGCAAGTCTTCAGGTGGGCCCCGATTAGAACCCAGTGGTCTCAAAGAGAGGCTCTGGGTAATGCATATGGCATTTCATTCAGCTATAGCTTAGGGCATAAAAGGTTGACCAGCCCTGAAAGAGCTTAGCTCTAGAGCACCTTTGGTGTCATCCTGTGTCCTGCTACTGGCCTTTATAAGACAGCCTTGCATCCAGGGTCTCCACCTTGCCCACTGGGTTTCATGCTTTACTCCTCCCTCTTTTTTTTTTGTACCAGAAATTGAATTCAGGACTTTGCGCTTGCAAGGCAGGAGGCAGCACCACTGAGCAAAATCCCCGGTCCTCAACTTCTATTTCATAGATGAAAAAACTGATGATTGGAGTGGCATAATGACTTGTCTTGGGTGATACAGCCTGAAAGGTAGAACTAGGGCTAGCACTCAGCTTTTCTAGGGCTCTTGCCGCCATTGTTCAGTGTCTCCATTCCCATATCTGGCACTTATTATGTACTAGCTGCTCTCATCTGCATTTTACAGATGAATAAACTGAGGCAGAGTCACACAGCTAGAGTTGAGATGTGTGCCCAAGCCTTCTGGCTTCAGAGTCCATTCTACTTTGTTATATGTGATACAGTTGGGTTGTGGTGGTGATAGATAAAATAAGGGAAGACCTATGCTGTAAGCATAGAAACACAGAAACACACACACACACACACACACACACACAGACGGTGGGGGGACCTTTCCTTGCCTGCTTCATGTTCTCTATATTTTCCTGGCTGATGTCTGAGCTGGCATTCTGCATAAAAGCAGACTCACTACAAGATACGTAAATGTGAGTTGGGACTTGTGAAAAAAGAGAAGCCGAAGACTCGAACCCTCTAGTCATCTCCAGAGCCACTCAGGCTGCAGTCTGGAAAGAAGTCTGCCAAAAAGCATCATTTCCTCATCCATCCCAGGCACTCTTACTGAATATCCATTCTGTGCAAGACTGGCTGGGGCTGGGGCAGCGAACTGATGCTGGCGGTATTGAGAGGGGTGATCCATCTTCCCCCTTCTGAAGGTGCTGAGCTCTCTTTGCCTTTCTGAAACTCATGAGATAAGAGAGGGAGATTTAAAGAAAAAAGACTCCAAGAAATAGCTCTTATATTAGTTGGGCTGTTTCAAATTGCCATAATGTATATGGATTCTACTTAGGATTGTGGTTTTACTTGATTATTGTATTTAGTCATTCAATAAATGTTTGTATTGAGCACCTACTCTGTGCCAGGCACTCTGAAGTCATTATTCTATTTATTTATAGCAGTTTCTGGTTTTTGTACTTTTTCGGTACTTTTTTCTCACTTTAACTTTTGTTTTCTCTCTTTGTATCTCTTTCTCTCTTCTTCTTTTTCTTATGTTTAGTACTGATGATTAAACCTGGGGAGCACAGAGATGGAACTACATCCTGATCCCTTTTTATTTATATATTTCTGTTTTGAGACAAGGTGTCACTACATTGCCCAGGCTGGTCTCAAAGCTGAGATCCTCTTGCTTCAGCCTCTTGAGTAGCTGGGATTACAGGCATGTGCCATCATGCCTGGTTCCCTTTATATATATAAAGAACTTGTGTCTTGGAACCCATCATATCTGATTCAGCCAGATATACCTACTAAAAGGTAAGTTGGGTTTGCTTATTATTCATAGGCTTATAATTTCTTCATGGTTGCCTGTTAAATACCTTTTGGCATTTATTCCCCTACTAGCACACATTACTGAGAAATTACTGTAGGCCTTGTGTTGGTGCTGTGGGGTGGATGGAATTATCTCTGGCATGGTTTCTTGACCTTAGGAGAAGTGTCAAGATCATGATAGGGCCCTCGCTTTTATGTCCTTTCTAGCATTGTGCACAAGAAGGATACATTTGGCTTCTACTCCAAGCCTTAGGGATTCTTGTGGTCCTAGAGCCCAGACTCAGGAAGGAGGTCATATCCCTTCCCACCCATCATAAGGGTTCCTGACTCTGGGCAGGATTTTGCTTCTGGGAGTGAATTCTGATATACAAGTCTTAGCCACATTTAAGACACCATTCACCTTAAACAAATTGCCAGAGGATACTAGCCACAACCCTGCTGTTGAAAGGAATGAAGGGTTGTGTGCTGGTGGTTGCCTAGCTCCGTTTCTGCTCCCGCATTTCTCATATGAGCCAGCAGGGAAGGCAAATGGGGAATTTCAGTTTGACCTGCTGGTACCAGACTGAAGACCAGACAGGACAGGGAGCACCTGGGGCTCTAGGTCTGATTCTGTCATTGCCATGGGTGACCTGAGAGAGTTGCTGTCCTAGAAATACAGACGCTTTTGTTCTCATGTGTTGGATTTTGTACCGTGCATTCCAAACAGCTCAGCTTCACTTCTCCCATATGTTAGTTACAGAGAAAATAATCCATGTGTAGGTATTGTCCCTGCCATGGATTGCTGACTAGCCTTGAGCTTGAGCCTCAGTTGCTTTCATTGTAAATATGGGTGGCATGAGGTCTTAGCTACTGACATCCCTGACAGTTAAGAATCCTCAGCTCAACAGTGAATCAAGGTTGTGAACTTGTGTTGAGACCTGTGGGGAAAGGCAAAAGAGAAATCAAATCCTAGTGTTTCTTACAGAGTTTGAACTAGTGTTTGATGATGCTTGCTGTCATAACTCTTGGAAGCCCTCTCCTGCCTTGACTAATGCCTCAGCCTTCCATACCTGTCTTTCCTTCCTTCCTCTCTCCCTCTTCTTTCGGGGATTGAACCCAGAACTGCCCTGCCACTGAATAGCACCCTCAGCCCTTTTTAAATTTTTAATTTTGAGGCAGGCTCTCGCCATGTAGGCCAGGTTGGATTGGAACTTGTTTTCCTCCTGCGTCAGCATCCCTCAGTGCTGAGATTACAGGTGTACATCACCACACCTGGCTTTCTTTGCCTTTGTGTGCAGAGGCAGAGTTTGTACTGGAGGTGGGAAGCTCAAAAGAGTTGCAATGCTGGTGAGACTGCAGAATGCTGGGGTAGAGCAAAGTGGGGATGGCAACTTCCTGCTCAAATACCAAATTACTCTTTTGGCCGTCTCTACTGACGATCTGAAGCTGACTTCTAAACTCCCCATAAATTATCCTGAACAAGTCACTGCGCCCTCTTGTGCACATAGCATAGGTATTTGAAACCCCCACATGGTGCCAGGCACATTCAGAACTCCTGGCCAACAGGCTCCCTCACCCCTAGTCTGGCTCTGGGTTTGCACCGCCTAACTCCCAGCGGTGTGACCCGAGGGAAAGGCAGAGACACGGGGATTGGGGGAGCCAGCAAATCAAGCTCCGCCCACCCCAATTTGAGTGGCTATGGGAGGGGCAGTGGGCTACACTGCACTCTCATTGGTCAATGGTCCCGTAGGTGGGCGGGGCGTCCTACAGCGGACCAGCAGACGCTGCCTACCCACCTGCGCTGCTTGGCGGATTCAGATTGACAATGGCTTAGCAGGAGCTGCAGCTGCTCCTCTGGCTGGCACCGTTACCCTCGCCCAACCCCAGGCTCTGTGCGTGACCCGGACGGAGCAGTCCCACTCGCCTTCCACCCGCTCCACGCTGTGTCGGGGCCCGAGCTCAAAGGGGTGGACGTGGCTTCCAGGTAAGAGTTGGGGCGACCATAGGGGAGACCCAGACGGACGCGGGCGCCTGTGCTCCCTCGCCCTGCCTGGAGCATTGTGGCGACCATAGGGGAGACCCAGACGGACGCGGGCGCCTGTGCTCCCTCGCCCTGCCTGGAGCATTCCGACTCGGGCCCCTGTCCCAGCGGTTCCTCTGGGCGGCGTACGCTGGAGATGGGGAGTAGGCGAGCCGAGCCACCTCCGCCTTCAGGATTTGGGTTCAGAGTTGCCGAAGGGAGTCCCGCGAGTTGGGCAGAGGACAGCGTCTGTCCACAGGCGCCTCCCGGGACTGGCTGGATCCTGGAGCAGTTACTCCGGGGCTTCGGAGAGGGTTGCAACCAGACGGGGGTGGTAGGGCTCTGGGCTGTGTGGCCAGGTCTAGCTGCTGCTCTCATCAGCTTCTTTGCTTTCGAGGGCATTTCCAGGAAGCCCTGGTAGGGCTGTGTGGACTTTCCCGTCGGCCACTGCCTTCCCTCTGAGAGACGCCTAGGAATTTCTTGGTAGCTGCGGGGACCAAGTAAAAATCTTTGGCTATTTAACATCTTTCTAGGGCTCGGTTTCCTCATGAAGTCCCAAGTGGGTTTGGATTAACAAACTAAGGAGGAAAGGCAGACGTTTTAGTGGAAATTCTTTGGCGTTACAAATTACACAGTCTCTGGGCTTCTCTGTCTCTTTTCCCAACACTTGTTAGAGTTGAGCGCTAAATAAGGACCCATGAAACCAGGGCTCAGCCAGTTCATATGACCTAAGGCAAGTCACACTACTTCTGTGAGCCTCAGTGTTCTCTACTGCACCTGGGTTGGCTGCTGCATTTCAATATCTAACAGGTCCAATCTCTACTGCCCTGACCTTTAGTTACTTGGTGCCTGAGGCCAGTCTTTGGATAGGTAAAAGGTTGTCTCTGAGAGGCTTGGAGCCATAGGAGCTGTGCAATTGGAAAGTTTTGTGGTGATTATGCAGGTAAACCAGCTGGAAAATTGTGTGTGAGTTTGTGTGTGTGTGGTGGAGCAAGGTGGGGAGGGGTGAGAGTTTACTTCTACAGCCTGGAGTCCCAGAGGTTGGGAACTCCAGAGATTGGGCTGACTTGGAATCCATGGTCACCCATGTCCTTGGGCCCTGACTTGTTTGGGTCTCAGAGCACCCAGTGCTGCCAGGGAGGAGAGGTAATCACACTCAGGGTTATTTTCAAACCCTGACACCTGCTGTGCCATCAGCTCCTGCCCCCACTTTGTAAGATTGCAGCTTCTCCCACCATCTGTATCCTTGCTGTCTGAATTTTCCCCTCATTTTCGTCAATGAAGGAGGGACACATCTTGTTCCTTAGGGACAGGGGGGTGGACATCCCAAGGGTAGAGAAGAAAATGAAGACCGCAGGAGGATTCTGGCTGGCTAGTGGAGTGGGAAGAGTGTGATGAGGAAGGACTGTGTTTGGGAAGGATGAGGCTGAAGCTCTTTCATCTTAAACTTGTAGTTGCCATCAAGCCAGGCCTTCTGGGCTAGTCCTTATTTCAGAGATTTGGTCTCCTTCTAGGTTCTGGACTTCAGATTTCAAATTTTTGCTTCCTGGACCTCTAGCATTAGGGTTAGGAAACACCAGGCTGGACAGAGTTCAGTCTGCCCTGTTCTCCTGCTTTCCTCCTTACACCTCAGGCAACTCCTGGGAAAATATGTTGAGCCTGGCTGTGCCTCTCAGCTCCCCTGTGCCGTCTGGAGAGGCTGCCAGGAGATAATATCTGGAGGTTTAAGGTCAAGAAGAGGAGCCAAAGATAGGCAAAATGACTGTGTACCCTGTGTGAGTGCTTGGAATGAGTAGTGTGAGTTTTCAAGGAGGATGGCACCTCCTATTTTTGAGCAGAGGAGCAAAAGAAAGTGTCATGAAGACACCCGAACTTTGATCTTCTGTCAGTCCTCTTGAAGTTTTAAAAAAATCCATTCTCGAACAGAGTGTGGTGGAACACGACTGTAATCCTGAGGCAGGAGGATTGCCATGAGTTTTGAGGCCATCCTCGGCTACTATAGTGCGTTCAAGGCTAGCCTGAACCACAGAGCAAGACTCACTCTCAAAACAAACAACAACAAAAAAACTAAAATAGTCCATTCTTGAGACTACAAATTGGAGAGAGAGGGGAGGGTTCTCGGGCTCACTTACAGGGATAACATCAGGGACTCAAAAGCAAGAAGGTCACAAAGGGAGGAAGGGATGGTATCTACAGTCGTTAGGATGCTATCATAGCTGCCTCCTACAGTTCTCCCTCCCTCTCCTTTTTTGTACCAGAGAGGTCCTTGTGCTTGTGATGCAGGTGTACTACCGCTGAGCTAAATCCCCGGCACTTATAGTTTTTCTGCTAGGAGACTTTGGGAACTCCTTGTTCCAGCCATGGAAATTTTGGATTTAGTGGATGGCAGGTTTAACCAAGGTAAGCTGTGCCCTCACCTTCTTGAGGGAAGATAGGTAAGGGGTCTCTGGCTGGAAGAAAGAGTTGCTTTTGGCTTAAATAGAAGAGAAAATTTTTCCTTGGGCTCCAACTTTGGGTAGGATCATGTGTCATGACCCTGATCCTGGGGGAGGCTTTTCAGCCGACAAAATAGGGATCGAGATTCCAGAGTTTGGGGGTGGAAAGTATGGGCTACAACCTCAACTGGGGTGGTTGAGTTGTGGGCTAAGCATGCAATTGTTGCTGTCAGGTGTTTATGACATCTGTGATTCCGGGTCTTGGACCGTGTGTTGCATGCTCACACACTTGTGTCAAGGGATAGTCCAAGTACATAGTCGTCAGTGGACTGGAATCCATAGTCTGGATCCTGGTCACAAGTCTGACATGGGTTTGTATGTTGTTTCCTCTTATGCACTCCTCCATGTTGGCAACTTGCATGCTGAACAGTTGCTGTTCCTGTTTGCCTCAGCCACATGCAATAATCTGAGAACTGAATGTTAAGTTCCTTCTGTGTCCAGGGTAGCACTGAGATGGGGAGCAGAGAGAGAGAGAGAGAGAGAGAGAGAGAGAGAGAGAGAGAGAGAGAGAGAGAAAGGGGGAGCCTGAGGGCCCTAGTACTGGAGATTTAATTCCAGGTTCTTCTGGTACTCTCACCTTCCCAGACACTCAGTTTTCCCGATTGTCCCATCTCACTGCATTAAATGAGAAGATCCACAGCTAAGTATTTTGTAAATTACCACGCGCTGTATAAATTATTAGTCATTAAGTTCAGGCATGGTTCAAGGTCTTGTGGAGGACCCAGAGCAATAACACCCACCTTCAAGAAATCTTCCATCTAGTTTGGGGTTTAGTGACCTTGGGTAATACATAACTCACTAAGACCTTTTATCTCAGTGAGGGCTTCTAAAAAATATAAAGGAATTCTGAACATATTTAAAAAGAGAGACAGTATAATGAGGCCTCAAGTATCGTACCCCTACCTCCTTCACTCCGTTTATTTTGAAACAAATCCTAAACACCTTATCAATTCATGTAAAAATATTTCAATATATATCTCTAAAAAATAGGGACTCAAGGACCACTCTATTATTGTCACACCCAAAACAGTCCTTTAACATAATCAAATATCTGGTCAGTGTTCATATTTTCTTTCTTTTTTTTTTTTGAGACAGGGTTTCACTATGTGGTTGAGACTGACCTGGAACTCACTATGTAGCCCAGGCTGGTCTCGAACTCACAGTGATCCTCCTGCCTCAGCCTCACCAGTGCTGGGATTACAGGTGTGTGCCACCACGCCCGGCTTTAGTGTTCATATTTTCAGTTATTGAGGAGGAGGCTTTGCCCTGGGAATCCTGACCTAGAAGCCATTGCTTTTGACTGAGGAGAAGGTGACTGACCAGAGGCAGTGATATTTGAGTTGAACCTTGGAGAGAGGCCCATGAAAGATCTGAGCTAGAGGGATTATGGAGTCCTAGTCCCTCATTAACAGATGCTACGTTGCTGGTGGCAGCACCTCAGGCAGATGTGAGCCACCTCTGGGGCTCCTACTCCTGAGGTTGACCTGTGGAAATTTCTTGTGGAAACTGAGCCTTTGTTTTTTCAGTGGTAAATGAACGTTCTGACTCTCCCACATGCCTTTGAGTTCCAGGGCCACCCAGGAGCTTGAGGTCAGCAGGCCTGGGAGAATTCCTGGGAGGCTGATCTCCACCCAGGCCCCGCCCCTGCCCCCAGTCCAGAGCAAAACAGGATGCATTCAGGATGAGCCTCTTTCCCAGCTTGTCATCTAATCACCAAGGCCCAGCTTGGAGCTTCCTCTCCCATTCATGATAAAACCGCTCACTGTCTCTCTCTTCTCCCCTGCCCCTGCAAGGGTGTGCTGACTTCTACCATTTCCAGGCCAGACCTCCTCCACCTTTATATGGGGCTGAGGGAACACTTCTGTCAGTATAGACCTATGCCCCCACCCACCCTCTGCAACCTGTCTGAGAGACAGAAAGACCCCAGGAATGCTCTCCTGACTGCAGCTTCCAGTGCTTGGTCTGTCCTTGGGAAAGGAGTGGCCCCTCTCCAACAAGCTTGGGGTCCTGCCACTGCTTGGTTAATGATTGAGCCACATAATCATCACCTTGGAAAGTCACCTCTAGAAGATGGCCATTAACTAACTCCCTGTCCACCCCAGGCCTTAAAGGGACCCCATCCTAAACCCTCACCCACTTTCTCCCAGGGAGACATTGACAAACATTCAGTCACAAGAACTTCTGGGGCCAATTGAAGTTCTGCCCCTCTGTCCTTTGCTTGGTCAAACAAAAGTAGTTATTCACATTGTGTGAAGGATACATGTTCAGCCTGGATGACATTGAAAACATCATGGGAGGGTGAAGGGAGGGCAGGGACAAAGGGAAAAAATGAGAACCAAGACATGTCATGTAAAGGTACAAGATCCCAATGATGAATGTAACTGTACTGTATACCTAAAATGTACCAATAAACTCAATTAAAAAAAAAAGAAAACAACAGAAGAGTTGAGTTGATGGGGATTTGGATGG